TTGTTCTAACACAACATATTTCAGTGTCAGTGGCTAGTGAAGGGGGCTATCTCAATTTCATGGTCAAGTGCAAGCACAGGTTAAGGCACAAGGTATGAGCCTGGTAGGGATTTCTTGAGTTAATAAGACAAATTAGCTCAGCTGCTTGGAAGCTACAATTTAAAATCAGCCAGTTTTCAAGAGCTAGTCTTAATTTCTTTGATTGATGAGGTAAAAAAAAGGCCAATAATATTATATTGTCACATTTTGGGTTTTTTTAATATATATTATTTTCACATTTTGTGATGGAGAAATCTGTGTTTTCATCTTAACAATGACTTGAACATTAGAGTCAAAAATAATTTAAGATAAATTTTAACTCCATTCATATTAGGGCTTTTTGTCTTTGTGGAGGTAAAAGAGCCCCATATAAGGAAAAAAATAAACCAAGTTTCTTATTTTTTTCTAAATCGCAGAAGTTTGTATATCAAAGGCATATAATATGTGTGTGAAAAGTTTATAAGTGATCTGAGGAATACGAAATTGGTTAAACATCCTTAGAATTAATAAGCTGTATTTCCTCTTCCTCTGATTCCCACCAACTCTATTCAGTTTTTAACAAATAAACGCAGTTTTCTAAACTCAGCATAGGAAAAAGATTAATTCTGTACTTTAAGGCCTTAAAATTTTTTAAGGAAAAAGTTTAACCGACTTGAAGATTTAGGGTCACAGTGTCATATCCCGTAAGCAAGCCACCACTTTCCTTCTAGCACACACTGCGATCGGAAAACAAGCCAAACAACCATCGGAACCAGTCTGATGGTTCAGATTCAGGCTGTGTGCAGTGAGATGCTTTTAATTTTGTTGTGTCATCCTGACTTCTTCCATTTGTGCTGTCTAGCATACTGGGCTGGATTTGTTGGAACATGTCTATTTTCCAACTCGATGACTTCCTTTCTGATTATGAATCTCTCTGATAATACACAGCTAATTTATCATACTTACACTTTGACCATCTCTTTTGTCATCACAATCAAGTTATATAGTCTCATTTGGCAAAAATGAAAACAGATAACCTTCCCCCCTCCACCACCAAAGTAACAATAACGAAACATTTTTAACTGATTCTACTTGACACCAAGGATGACAAATGATCACCATTCTAGACAAAGAGCCTAAGGTGAAAAGAATACGCTGTTTAGAATAAAACAGAATAAAGTCAGAAAGGAGTGGTTGAGGAAAACCTCCTTCCAAATTGTTGTGTGTTCACTCCTTAAACATATATTAAATGGTTTCTATGTGATGGTCACTGAGATAAACGTGAGTAAGACACAACACCGGCCGTCAGGGCCGCCCAGAGCTGGGGGTGAGCTACACAGTGAATGGACAGGGGAAGTGACGTATGAGATCCATCTCGAAGGAGGAGTGGGATTTGCCCACAAAGAAAATTGTGCCCACAATGGGCATTCTGGGAAAAAAAAAAAAAACAACCCAAAAAAACCCCACCAACAGACTAGTGGGTAAGACAAGCAGACATACGACTGTGTGTGGGTTTCTCTGGAGGCAGCGATCACGGGGGACTAACGTGTTGGAGGTAATCAGTGGTTGTGGCGGTGATGTTAGAGACACGGGTTGCGGCTTTGTGACACAGTAAGACATATTAAGGAATGTATATTG